TCTTCTTCTTCTTCTTCTTCTTCTTCTTCTTCTTCTTCTTCTTCTTCTTCTTCTTCTTCGTCGTCGTCGTCGTCGTCGTCGTCGTCGTCGTCGTTGTCTTCTTTTTCTTTTTCTTCTTCTTTTATTATTATTTTCAAAGTTGTCATTTTCCTTAGTTTTTCTTCCTCACTTGGATGGTATTCCTTCTCTCCCACAGGTGCCATGTGAGACTGATAATCTGGATAATTAGACTAGTTAAATCAGTGGGATTTTTTGAGGTTGCTGTAGTTTAGTTTTTTGTTGTTTGTTGTTGTTTATTTTTATTTTTTTTGGTTTGTCGACACAGGGCTTCTCCATAGCTTTGGAGCAAGTCAGAGTTCCCTTTAAATGAGAAAGATTCCTGTGAGTTTAAGATTGTTTTCTGCCAGAATTAGCCATCAGGAGCCCTCCTGCCCTCCCTTAGCCCCAACAAGTTACAGTGTTGCCCTAGTGAATTAGGAATTGAACTTCCTCAGAGACGGGGTCTTCTGCAACTCCAGGACTGGAGGGACAGGGAAGATCCACACACCCTGTGAGCACTGCTGTGTCCCATGAGTGCTGCACTGGGCTCCACAGCACACTTCAGGGATCCTGAGTGACAATACCTGGTATCTTGTTCCCCCAGAGGCAGGGATTGGAGAATCAGTTTCTCTGGCTGAGTGTCAGAGGCTCACCACATTTCTGCTGCTCACTGTGGTGATGGCTGTTCACCTGGATGGACAGTTAATGCTGGACAGAAAGATGGCCACAGTGCTTGGGCCTTGATGGTGTCAGCAGAAGTTTCTGGTGCCTTTCATGTAGACCGTTCCTCTTAATTTCTTACTTTTATGTGAATTTAATCACATATAAATTAATTACTTTCCATCCCTTCATCCTTTTACTACCTACTTGATGCTATAGAACATCATAAGAAGACGATGTTGACCTGCTGGCTCATGTGGATTCCCTCCTAGTTTCTGGGTCACCAGGAAACTGTGCAGTTCTGTGATGAGGGGACCAGCTCTACCTGCAGGTCACTAGTGTGATGACAGAAGTGTTCAAACAGACACATAGTTCAGTGTCATCATTGATTTAACTTTGTCTTTGCAGATTTCAGTTTATCTTCTTAATTGTGGGTTTTCTTAAACCTTCCACACAGATCCCCCAAAGGCACATGTGACCCATCATCCTGGGTCTAAAGGTGATGTCACCCTGAGGTGCTGGGCCCTGGGCTTCTACCCTGATGATATCACCATGAATTGGCAGAGGGAGGAAGAGGAACAGACTCAGGACATGGAGCTGGTGGAGACCAGACCTTCTGGGGACGGAACCTTCCAGAAGTGGGCATCTCTGGTGGTGCCTTCTGGAGAAGAGCAGAGATACACATGCCATGTGTACCATGAGGGGCTGCCAGAGCCCCTCACCCTGAGATGGGGTAAGGAGGGAGTGGGTGCAGAGCTGGGGTCAGGGAAAGCTGGAGCCTTCTATAGACCCTGAGCAGGGTCAGGGCTGAGAGCTGGGGTCATGACCCTCACCTTCCCTCCCTGTCCTTCCTTTCCCAGAGGCTCCTCAGTCCACAGTCCCCATCACAGCAGTCATTGCTGGTCTGGTTCTCCTTGGAGTTGTGACCATCATTGGAGCTGTGGTGGCTGTTGTGAGGAAGAGGAGGAGAAACCCAGGTAGGAAAGGGCAGGGTCTGAGTTCTCTTCAGCCCCTTTTAGAAGAATCTCTGCCTCATTAATGGGAAACACATCCACACCCCTCATTGCTCCTGTCTCTACCCTGGGTCTGCTGTCAGTTCTGGAAACTTCCAAGGGTCGGGGACTTCCCTGGTCTCTCACAGCTTTTCTTCTCACAGGTGGAAAACGAGGGGACTATGCTCCAGCTTCAGGTAAGTGTAAGGAGCCAGATAATCCCTGATTCCTTTGGGTTGAACCTGGATTGTTTGAGGAAGTATGACAATCCATATTAGCTCCTTCAGCAAAATATTCTGGGGTCCCTGTTTTTACGTTTCCACATATATATATCAATATTATTTTACCCCAGGCAGGGACAGTTCCCAGAGCTCGGATGTGTCTCTCCCAGACTGTAAAGGTGACCCTCTGGCGACTGACTTGGGGAGGGGCAGAGTGGACATGATTGGGTTTCAGGGACCCACAAAATCACCTTTGAGTGAGTGGAGGGTTGTGGCGATGTTGTCTTCACAGTGATTGTTCATGACTCTTGTTCTGTAGCATGAAGACAGCTGCCTGGTGTGGATGGAGTGACAATGTGTTCAGGTCTCTCCTGTGACATCCAGAGCCCTCAGTTCACTCTCAGAAATAGTACCTGATGTTCCTTGTGATCCCATGGACTCAGTGTGAAGAACTGGGGAGCCCAGCCCACCCCTGCACACCTGACCCTGTCCCTGCACTGCCCTGTTCCCTTCCACAGCCAACCTTCCTGTTCCTGCAGACAGGAGGGGACATCTCCATCCTGTCTCCTCCATGCTGCCCTGAGCTTCAGCCCTGACTTCCCCTCTGAAAATAAGAATCTGAATGTGAACTTGATTGTTAATGTCCTTGATCTCAAAGGTTGATTGGTGGTAAAATAAAGGATTGAGATAGAGTTTATGGAGGAAATAAATGGCAGCGTGGAGAACCTCCCAGAATCTGTGTTCACTGTGCTGTGTGCATCTGGTGGGACAGGATGAGGCTGTGGGAGCTGAGTGAGAACAGAGCTGTGCCCAGGTGGAGCTCAGTCCGTTATTGAGATTGACAAGGTCCCTCTTCCACTCTGGCCCCTCCTGGCTCAGTTCTCTTGGAACTTAGAACCTCATGCTGACATCTGTGATTACAGGGACACTGGGATGGTTAGAGCCTTGGCCTGTCCCCAGGATTATGAGCCACCAGGGCTGCTGTGACAGTCAGGGCTGCTGTCTTGGCTGTGATCTTTCAATGTCTTTAGTGTTGACTTTTTGTCTTTTTAGCTAGTACGGAGGAGTGGGCCTGTTCCTGTGAGTGGTGCCTGCTTCATAACCCTGTAGGGACCCTGAGTGACAGCAGTAAGAGGTGTTTTCATCCCTGTCCCCTCAAGGCCCAACTAGGCCCCTGCACTCAGGAATCTGTGGGATGAGAACATGAGCTTCAGTCTCCTGAGCTCCTGCCTCCCTTCAGGCCCCTCCCTGGAGGTTCTCTCCTTCTTTCCCATCTATCAGAATCTAACCCGGGTTGTAGGATGGGTAGAGAGGAGGGATCCACAGGGTCTCATCTCAGATCTGTCCTGTGTTCTTCCCAAGGTCCTATCTCCCTCTCTGCCTCTGGGAATCCTGTGCTCCCTCCAGTGGAGACTCAAGGATTTACAGTCTGAGTCTACTTTAGATTTATGTTTATTAAAAATCATGATCCACCTTTGATCCCAGCACTTGGGAGGCAAAGGCAGGCAGATCTCTGTGAGTTTGGGGCCAGCCTGGTCTACGAGAACTAGTTCCAGTACAGGCTCCAAAGCTACAGAGAAACCCTATCTTGAAAAAAACAAACAAACAAAAAAAAGATCCAGCAAAAACACTGATGACAACTTATGCTGGAGAGGTTGTGAGGAAACGGAAACACTTCTGCATTGCTGGTGGGAATGCAGGCTCATACAACCCCTTTGGATGTCAGTGTGGCGATTTCTCACAAAATTAGGAAACAACCTTCCTCAAGACCCAGTAATACCACTTTTGGGTATATATCCAAAGGATGCTCATTTATGCCACAAGGGCTGTGTTCAACTATGTTCATAGCAGCTTTGTTTGTCATAGCCAGAACCTGGAAATGCCCCTCGACCAAAGAATGGATAAGGAAAATGTGGTACATTTACACTATGGAGTATTACACAGCAGAAAAAAAATAACAACAGCTTGAATTTTGCAGGAAAATGGATGGAGCTAGAAAACATTATTTTGATTGAGGCAACCCAGACCCAGAAAAACCATTATCACATATACTCACTCATAGGTGTTTTTTTTTTTTTTTTTTTTTTTTGTTTTT